CAAAAATGAGTTCAGTGTTGAAGAATATAAATGACACGATGATCATGTTGTTGACATGTGGTTATTGTGTCTGGTGTAAATGTAGCTTTGCTCTTACTAAACAATGCACTTGTTCGTTACTAGAGTTTAATTCTCATAAGGAAAATTGCAAGTAAGTTTTTCATGTGTAGACAAATATAATAACCAAACATTTACAGTCAATTATTTGATATTGCCAAAATTAATCTGTTTGTATTGTCTAAAAATTTCTTTATATATTAATTAGAAGAAAAACAATATCTAAATGATTGTGAACTTAATGACCAATCTCTTTATTTTCTAACGAAGATTATCAATTGAAAGAACATTATACAGTAAAGTACAGTATATTCAGTCACTGATACTACAAAAAAGGTTTATTTGTCCTTTCAAGTCAATGTCTGTCTCTATTTCTTTGACACCAATGCACAACTGTTACAAAATTGCAAAGAGTTTACAAGGTAAAATATGAAACAGATTATCTAATAAAGAAATGTAATGCACATTACAAATTGTGTTAAGTAGAAGACTTGGAATAGAAGAAAAAAAAAACAATCTAGCACAATTAGATTTGTTATACTGTACAATATTGTAATGTACTGTACATTAAAAGTGCAGTACAATATAGATGCCAAGATGCTTCCCAAACTTGGGAAGAAAATTAAATCTACTATCAGCTAAAAATTCAAGAATTTGAAGAACGTCTCAAAAAGATAAAAAAATGTCAAAATATGATTTGACAAATTAACATACACATACAACTCAATAGCATACAACACATTGAGACAATAACTTATAATTAGGTATTTTTTATTTTGATTGACTGATTAATTAATTGATTGGATTGATTGATTGATTGATTGATTACATGATTGAACGAGTCACAAAAAACAAATATAGGTCAAGTCTACTATACTGCTGATGTAGAAAATGACTGATGGTCTCAAAGTAGGCCAACTTCTACAGAAGTCCAGAAATTTAGCCAGAGACAGAACACAACAGCAGGGAGAGACAGAATGGGGACAGGGGAAGTGCATACTGTACCAGCAAATACTTAAATAAATAAATACTGTATATACTGGACATTATAATTAAAGGCAGGGGATAGGGTTTAGCACATAGCATGGTGAATGCAAATACTAAATGACTGTACTGAGACTTGAGGCTGAGTTCTTATTCCTTCAACTGTTTCGGTTGACGCATTTATTTAGCTTTGGCATTGCTAAGGCTTAAAACACATCTGAGAATAATATTTGCTGACTACCGTTTAATCACACGGTGCTATCCATCAAGAGACGTGCGTACACAAATCATTCACAACAACCACTGATAAAAATAGGTTATTGATAAAAAGATGAATTTGCAGAGTATCCAGGTGCATAACAAATACTTGCTTTGTGCCAAAAATCCATGTAAAATACAGGTATCGGATATGTTTGAGTGTCTTGTTATACTGTAGTTCTTCTGCCAAATATAACCAAATCGAGTCTGTAATTCTGAAATGCTGCCGTACAAACCTAATACCCAACAAATTTTTTTATCTAATAATACAATCTTGAATCTTTTATTTACATAATTTTGAAGTACCATGATAATCATTCAGTATTTACATCCTGTTTCCTAGATAAACAAAAAAACAATAACCATTTAATTTCATAATATAAAGACTAAATTTAAATTATAGGTTTTGTTTATACAACTTTTGATAAATGTTGGCAATATTTAAAATTTCATCAATGAACATAGCACCAAAGAGATACTCAGGGTATCTCTAAAAAAAAAAAAAATAGTACAGTAAACATTAAAAATTAGCTTTTTTATACCTTGTAGCAAAACCGTTGCTCAGCAATAATGATGATTTTGAATAAAAATAAAATTTTATTTTTGGCCAATTAGTGTACGTGTCATAGGCTTAGCCAGCGAACCATCCTGCCTTCTTTTGGACGGCCAAAAATTATTTAGGACAGCTAGTTTTACCATGACGGCTTGGACGGCTTGGCGTAATCAGCTCTGCCTAGCCTAATTGGGCCTGGTCTACCTTTAGCAAATTCTTTATATTCTTCAAATCTATCGAATGTTACACTAAACTAAAGCTAAATCATACTTATTGATAAAAACAACATTTATTGATTGAATATACGTTGTTTTCATACCAATATTCGGTGGGGATTCCCAAAAAATTAAGGCTTAACCATTGCCTACCCGGTGGACAGTTCACTTACGACATGCGTCGTGTTAAAAACATTTACACCCCGCTGGAAAATGGACGGTTCGCATGCACGTGGGTCCGCAAACACAATCATATTGTTGGTGTTCGTAACTCTCTGGTTATAAATAATTCATGAAATACTGTAAAGAAAATTTGTTGTTAATGTCACAAGTTAAATTTTATTAGTCAAAAAAATACAGAAGGTCTAGGCCTATTTCCCGATTCAGAGTACATAGGCCAAGAGTAGAATTTTCACTAGACTAAAGCGAGAGATGAAGATGCATCTGCATAGCCTAGAAATACCGTAGCCGTACACAATCTACGTATAAGATCTTTGTGATACAGTAGCTACAGTAATTCAACACTATTCCTTTGAAGACAAATTTCCAACATTTAAGCACCTTAAAATTCAATTCATTTATTCCCCTCAACAGATTACAATAAGAACACACCAAAAAAACAGACAAAAAGGAGGCAGGCTTCCCAAAAAGAGATTCAAATCTCTATCGAGTAGGTCGCAAAACACAATAAATATATAAGATGAGATAAAAATTTCAAATAAAAATACAAAAAAAAATAAAAAAATTTAAAAAATAAAAATTTTCAAGTCTTTTTCATATGTTTCAGAGGGGGTGTGGCTCAGGGCCATCCCCACTGGCTTCTATTTTGGACGGCCTATTCCATTTTTCTGGCTAAGCCCCTGGTACGCACTGCCACAAAAAAATGATGTTTCAGAAGAATGTTTTTCCGCTGCACTACTAAATTCTCCAAAATCAGATATGTATATTTCTTCCTAATTATATAAATTTAAAGCATTTAACCATCGAATTACTACAATACAATATACTTTATTTGCAACTAAAAACAGTTGAATACACAACACTGCACTGAAAAAAAACAAAACAAAAAAACAAAAAAAACTAAAACTACACTGTTTACGTTCACCAATAAAACTTTATTTTAATGTTCTCCTCCGTCTGGATGTTTTTGGCAAAACTATTTGCTAAATAAGAAAACAAAATTTTATTTTGATTTTTTCCTGCCCTCCACTGATGATCTTATATAAAATAAGTTCGCGAAACAAGTTATTAAAAAAGTCTCGCCTAAATGTCGATACCTGCTGACGGCCGCTGCTTCCCAAAGCAAGAAAAAAACTTGCCTACAGTCCTGTCCACACTATCAAAACTGTTGTATGCCCATATATAGTCATGATGTGCCTATATACAGGTATGGTCATGATGTGATGTCATCGTGACCATATTTAGGCATGTCACATGACAGAGAATAACAGGAGATTGGTATGAACTGCAATCTAATCTACTAGCTTTTTCCATGAAACACTACATGATTTTTTAATCCAAATAAAGGCAATTGAAATATTCATCAAAAATCTAATTATCACTATCTAATTTATTCACTTTCAATTTGGATGGTAAGCAAAAAATATTTTTCATTAAAAAAATTATTACTTGAATAAACACTATGAGAACTTCCATCTGTAATACTTAAAAAAATTTATACTAGTGAGTATTAGATTTCAGATTATTTTTTTAACTTGTAAAGGTGAAACATATGCTACTTAAATCATCGAATTAATAACAGGCCAGAGGGAAATGACAAAATGATTAACATGAGATGAATGAAATTAATGGAATGAATAAATTAATACAATTTTTCACATCATTTTACTTGGGTGGTTTAATCAGTAATGAATGATGATTTTATGAAAGTAACAAATTTTAAAGAGAGGGGGTTGGAATGGTTCTGGACCCTCAATCCGTAGAAGTCCATCCGGGAGGCCACTATGGTTGTCCGGCATCAGGAATACAAGACATAAAATGTGTAATAAAACGTGTTACCCATTCCTTTGCCTAGTCTCCTAGATAGACGTCCGGATTGCACCAGAGTGGAGACGGATGGCGAATTCCTGAAGATTTTTTGCAAATTATTTTGCCATTTAAATTTATCGCCATTATTTAATCAAAATAAAAATAGTTTTAAATAGCCTGTATTTTTAAGCAGATTTACAGTAAGATTCCTTTGTGTATGATACAAATGCTTTGTAACAAAAGGAAAAGGCACTATATAAATGACCGTTACTATTATTATTATTTTTATTATAAAATGTATAATAATGTTGATATTTGTATTGTTGGAACAGAACTGTCCAATGTGAGGATGCAGTACTTCTACTAAAGTAGTAGAGTTATATTTTGTTTGAAAATTTGAAATTAAACATTTTTACTACAGGTTTGTTTTTTTCCGTTCTTTAGAATTCTTTGTAAATTTAGAATTCTAATCTTAACATTAATTTACAGTGACAGTATACCTTCTCTTCAGTTTATCAAACTAAAAATAGTTTACTTCAGAGCCTAGGTAGGCTAGGCCAATGATGAGATTCATATAAATACAATAAACGAATGTAAATCAGAATCAAACTCAAATTTGATGGTCAAGTGCTTATATTTAAAGAAGTAAATATACGGTAAATTTAATGAATAGTAAAATTTTATGTTGAAATTACGTAAGTTGAGTTACTTTAGATCACTTAAGCAGTTCGACTCGTAATATAGAATCGATAATAGTTATAAGACAGTAGGGAGTATAATCAATAACAAGAACAGCCGAAGGACACTCGCAGACAAAAACAGTGCTCGCTAGACGGACACTGGCTGGACCCACCAAATTTACCCATACAGTTATTGACTGATTACTCGTAAAATAATCGCGCAAACGACATTGAAAAAGCACAAAATGCATCTTCAGTACTTACCTATTGAACTGATAAATTGTTTTCTTGACTTTTCGAGTTCTTTCCGAAGCTGTTTTCTTTCTTGGAGACAGCGGTAGTTACCACACGAGACGGAAGCTGCCATTTTTCGTGTGGTCGTTTCTCTATGTACGCCTATTACGTCATCATCAAATGTGACCACCCTCCTTTGGGTCATGTTTACATCGCGAGTCAAATTTGTTACCAAAATAGACCCGGAAGTGGTTGAGTCAGCGACGCTTTTTCGGTGATAAATTTTAATCAATAACGCCCAAAAGTTGTCACCTGTGTCACAAATTTTAAGCACATTTACACCAAAGTTGAAGTATAGCGGGTAAGTCACTGATCATCGTTTTATTTAACATTCTAATTTTTAAGTGCTCCGTCAACCCTAGTTTTTTAGATTTGACCTAAGGCCTAGAGGCTAGGCCAAATGCTGGCAAAGACTACACTACATGAGCAGCAGCCAGTAGGCCTCTGGTGGTACTGAATTAGCTATTCTTATGAACCTGCTTGAGGGGTAGTGAGCTTAGTGATTGGGCCTAGGCCTAGCTGTTAAATGTTTCATATTACCATGGAAAAATACCTCTTTGTGTGTAGTGTGTGTAATCAATTTTCACTGAGGAGGGAATGTTTTTATTGTCTTTTCTTTTGTGTCATTATTTTTATAGCCTTCTCATTTTTATTTTAATTTTCTGTGTTGTGAAATAAAAATGTACGGTACAGCTGAATAAATTGAAGACAGTATATTATTATATAAAATACATCTAGGTTTATTTTTTAAATTAATAATATTCATATTTTCTTTATAGAGTATATTTTTCATCATGACCTCAAAACAAGGAACCTACACATACCCCGAAGGAGATGAGTATAGAGGAGAATGGCTTGAAGGTATGGAATACTGGCCTACAATGTGGCCAATAATTCTTACATGATTGAATAAATTTTAATAATTTTATTTTTGGTGGTTTATCACTTTTTCAATCAGTCAAACATTTATATTGCGCCAATTCCAAAAATATGATCAAAGGCGCATTGTACCCTGAAGTTCGGTGATCAAATAAATCTTTAGGTTTATTTTGAAAGAATCTAGGGAAGACAAGTCTTTAACAAATGAACACAAGGAACAGATAGCAATGATTTGTCAGAATTACAAAGGCGGCGAGATGGAACATATCGAGAAACTAGTTGAGTGATATAAGATGGACGAGAAAATAATAAAGCTTTATGTTAAAATGAGGATCTTGAAAACAATTTGTTGTTTAACGGGGAGCCAGTGAAGGGTCAAGATTACAAATCATGATGGTTTATTTTCAAACCAGTCATATCTTAACAGTTGATATAGAGAGTTTCACAAAAAATAAACCTTTATATATATTATAGTAATAAGGCCATGTAAAATAAAATTATTGGTTAGCATCCCCTCCCTACCATCAAAAAGGCCACCGACCCGATTTTTTTTTTTTTTTTACAATACACTCACAAACTCAATTATAGGTGTGTTTACCACCCGTCCGCACACTAGCCAGTCCGCTTGCAGTTCTATGCTCTACTGTTGTTCTATAGGCCTATACTGTAGCCACAAATGGTATCCATGATGCCTGTTGTGTTGAGGAGTGAATTGTGCATGATAATACATAGAGATAATTGCGTTGTTATTCATAGGTAAAGTTTCTGATTGCTATAGCTGCTTGTATGTAAATTTGGTCTCTGTTGTTTTATTCTTCTTTTTTTGCTGTTTTTCCTTGCGAATCTCTTTTTTCATGTTCGATGCAAAAAAAAAAAAAAAAAATTTTTTTATTTTGGAAAAAAAAAAAAAAAAAAAAAAAAAAAAAAAAAAACCTCCCTCCCTACCATGAAAATTGATAACATAAGGATGCTAACCAATTGTTTTATTATACATGGCCTAATGTATTGATATGACAAAGACAGTTTGAAATAAACTAATGTTGGTACTGTACCAAAAAATCAATCAATTTAATTTCTCTTTCAAAACCATTCTAATGTGCATATACAGATATTGTTGATACCGTACACACGTACAAACACATATCTACAACCACCCCGCACTTCATATTTTATGTTCAGTTTATGTGCTTAAAACAGTGGAGATCTTTACCACTACTTTGTCCCACATTTGGTACCATTCTGAATTTCTTGTGTTTCATTTCGAGGTCTGGGATGCAAGTACTGTGTGGAAATATAGCACGCCATCGCCCGTTAAAGCTGCTGATCCTGTGTGAAATATTTCACATGTGATTGTTAGAGAATGCAGTACACTCTTCGGAAAAAGATCAGAAAGATTGTCTCCTAAATTTAACACAAGAATTACACCATTGGATGTAACAGGGTCCCAAGCAGGAATTCCTCTCAACTGTGTCGGGACAGCTCTATTTGTTAGACAACAGATTACAGGGGGGGGGGGAGATCCAGTAATTCAAAAGAGGGGCTCTGCTCAGGAAGGGACTTTTATAGGCTGGCTCTTACCTCTGTCTGTGAGCTCTCCAATTTAAAAGCTCTTTAATGGCTATGGGACTCTAGGTGGCCGAAAAAAGCATACTAAAACGTAATTAAATATATTTTATTCTTTTTTAAGTATTATTAAGCAAATTAACCATTGGAATTATTATAAGAGTTATTATTTATGCGAACTTGATTTTTTTTTTTTTAGTTGAAATCCAGATATACAGACTTCATATGCATCAGATCAATAAAAATGCAAACATGCTTTTTATATCTGCAAGTTTTTTTAAGTAATTATTTGTGTAATGTACTGTAAACAGGTGCAGTTAGTAATAAGCCTTTCCAAGGCTTTGTTATCATTCCTAATGCTCTGCTAAGTCCTGTTGCTTTGTCACTGTGACTCATTAATGTATAACTGGACATCTACATTGTGCACATGTTATTATCAATCATATTTTGATTTTTTTTATGTTGGTCAGCAATTTTAGTATTAGATTATGAATATATTTTGCACACACAATGGAACTCAATATCATCATAATAACACAGTTGAAGTAAATGTGTATAGTTGCCCCCCTTCCCCGTGGTATACTTCCTGTACTTTTGAAAAACGTTGGGTGGGGGGAGCGTGAAGGTGAATTACCTGTAGTAAGCTCAATGGTTAAGTGATGGGAAAATAGCCCGCAAAATAAAGTCATATGAGATAATTTTTAATTACTTGAGCGTAGTTTTTTGCTTCAAACATTTCCAATGGTTTGGGGGGGGGGGTGGATATACCACAATTGCCCCCCCCCCCCACTCATCAAGTGGTTACTACATCTGTGGGAATTCTGCGCTAATTTATAGAGCGTTGTGAGGCTTTAATGCTGTTAAATGTAGAAAAGATATTTTTTGTCCATCTCACTCACGGTCTTGTGGGGGGTTTTAAAAAAATTTATTTTGTAGCTTTTATATATTATTCATATTTCAATTAACATTATGAGTGATGTATCCTAATCTTAGTCACTGCCACTTCATTAAGCATTCTTAATTTACACAGGAAATTAAAAATCTCCTTACCTAGCTTAATCCAATACAAATTTCAAATTAATTCTAAATTTTAAATTGATTAATTTCTAAAATAAGTTCTTTAATAAACTGATATATTTATAAATTGTATATTTAAATTATGTGTTAATTATACATGATTCATATTATTATTTCATTTATTTCATTATATAATAGTTGTTTTAATTTCCCCCTCCCCCACCCCTTAGGAGCTTGGTCTTGTCCCAAACATTTTGTGTTGAAGCAATTTACATCGATCATTAAGCATTTAATTTCTGTTTTTGTTTTTTTTTTGCACATCTTCCACCCAAAATACATTTCCACTCTTCATATACAAGATACAAGATAGCTTTATTGTCAAATTAAAATCCAAAATTGGTTTTTCTCATGGCAACACAAATATACAGAAAAAAACAATAAACAACAATGAAACATACTATACATATATATAGAAAACAATAAACAACAATGAAAAATATGATATGTTGATGAGGCCAGGTATTCTCAGGTGTTGTTATATTCATATAATGAATGTAATTTTTCTGTTGCTTCATTGTATACCGTACGTAGGTTCTGCAACACCTCATTGTTTGTTACCAGCAAATCCTTATCACTCCTCTGTCCCAACCACTCAAAAACTTCCGGGGTGGGGGGGGGGAGGAATGTCTTCCACACACCTGGGGAGCAAGCAAGAATCTCTAACTATTATCAATTGTCTCTCGAAAGTCAGCACCAGTGGGTATCACACCACAGCAAAATATATTTAGATAAACAGATCTCCCAGATGTAGATTTTTCCAAATTGGTGCCCCTGTCATACCAACATTTTTTAAATTTTAGATAATACTGTGTAGAAAATAGCTGAAGACAAATCTTTATATTTAATGTAACATTACGTATAAATTTAACAATTTTTTTTTTTAAATTTTTTTTTTGTATATCTTGGTATATCAGGCCTGATGTTACCATCAATGTTTATGAAAGGCGGCTACAATATTTAATTTATAAGCTGAACTATTCGCACCTAGGGCTGAAACATAGCATCAGCCACTTCACAACCCATCAACAGTGCAAGCTGGGGTTACTAAGCATTGCCGGCCGAGAATGGTCAGCGTGTGGTTCAAACCCTCGACAACGAGGTTTACAATCTGAATGGAAATCACAGTGCTAAACCCTCTTCCCAAATTATTACAGAAAAACCCCAAAAGTACACATTATCATTTTTTATGTACTTTCATCACAGTGGTGACTGTAGGATGTTTTCTGGTGGTTGGGGGAGGGGGTTAAGCTGTCCGACATGGGGCTGAGTGAGATAAGGACAACTATGACCTAGCCGGGGAGGGTTTGGGAGGGGTTCCTCTTCCCAAATGAGATTTTTTTAAATGGGGACCTCTGAATGGCCAGATGGCACTCTCATAGTTAGTTCTGGCCTTCACTTGGCTTGGTGTATGCCTACTTTTTATTTTATTTTTTTTTTGGTCCAACTGCCTGACAAGCTCTGGCCAGTGGGGCGAGGGGCTTGAGATCTGTCTGATAGGGGATCCTTAAGCCCCTGGGCCACTGCTTCATCATTTTACTGTAGGTTAAATATAGCTAATGATGAAACTTAGTTACATATTTGAAGTAATGTAGAGTAATTGGATGCTGACATAACAGGTGCTAAATGCTAGTTACGGGGCTAGTTAATATTAAATTGATTTTAATAGTTTACAAAAACAAAGTCATTGTCATGGCATCCACATGAATCATTGTCCGCAAGTAACAGATTACCTAAAAGATTGCCAACTTCCTGGAGCCTTCATGTGACTGTAAACTAATGGAAGCAAAATCCTGTCTCTTATACACATCTAGATGTGTATAAGAGGCAGAGATAATACTGTGTAGAAAATAGCTGAAGACAAATCTTTATATTTAATGTAACATTACGTATATATTTAACAATTTTTTTTTTTTGTATATCTTGGTATATCAGGCCTGATGTTACCATCAATATTTATGAAAGGCGGCTACAATATTTAATTTATAAGCCATGAACTATTCGCACCTAGGGCTGAAACATAGCGTCAGCCAGTTCACAAACCATCAACAGTGCAAGCTGGGGTTACTAAGCATTGCCGGCCGAGAATGGTCAGTGTGTGGTTCAAACCCTCGACAACGAGGTTTACAATCTGAATGGAAATCGCAGCACTAAACCCTCTTCCCCAATTATTACAGAAAAACCCCAAAAGTACACATTATCATTGTTTATGTACTTTCATCACAGTGGTGACTGTAGGATGTTTTCTGGTGGTTGGGGGAGGGGGCTAAGCTGTCCGACATGGGGGCTGAGTGAGATAAGGACAACTATGACCTAGCCGGGGAGGGTTTGGGAGGGGTTCCTCCTACCAAATGAGATTTTTTTTAAATAGGGACCTCTGAATCGCCAGATGGCACTCTCATAGTCAGTTCCGGCCTTCACTTGGCTTGGTGTAGGCCTATTTTTTATTTTTTATTTTTTTTGGTCCAACTGCCTGACAAGCTCTGGCCAGTGGGGCGGGGGACTTGAGATCTGTCTGATGGGGGGTCCTTAAACCCCTGGGCCACTGCTTCATCATTTTACTGTAGGTTAAATATAGCTAATGATGAAACTTAGTTACATATTTGAAGTAATGTAGAGTAATTGGATGCTGACATAACAGGTGCTAAATGCTAGTTACGGGGCTAGTTAATATTAAATTGATTTTAATAGTTTACAAAAACAAAGTCATTGTCATGGCATCCACATGAATCATTGTCCGCAAGTAACAGATTACCTAAAAGATTGCCAACTTCCTGGAGCCTTCATGCTTGATGAAAGATTCGATCTCATTGGTTTATTTTAGCCTAGTGTCATGTCCATGCTGATTAAATTGCCCAATTAGAATCTATTTTAGAAAAAAAAAAAAAAAATTGTTGGCTTTCCTTGGTTAACTACTTAATGTCATGTGTAATCTGGTATAAAATGTGTTTGTTCATTAAAAAGAAGCTATAAATAGTTTATGAGAAAATAAATGAAGAAATAAATGAAGAAGTTTAGTAATCAAAGATATAAATGAATATCTGGCAGGCAATTGAACATTTAAATATTATTTTCAGTATTAATTTTTACAAATATTATTTGTTTTATTAATATTTTAATACCATTAGTATTATTTTCTCAAAACAAAATTTAATGACAAAAAGAATTGACTTAAGATTTTTTATTTTTTTATTTTTTTTAAATAATTTGATCTTGAAAATAGTTCCAAGATGGACCCGAAACGTTGATCCTTTTTGTCATTAAATTTTGTTTTGAAATTATATGGTAAGCATCTGTTAATTAGTATTATTTTGTTAAAATTATGCAGTAGAACCCCTATTAAGGGACACCTTTGGGACCCAAAAAAAAGTGTCCCCTTTTCCTCATTTTGATGTGTCCCCTTAATAAAGATGTTCCAAAGGAGGGGTTCTACTGTATTAATATTCTATTATTAAAATATGCTTTTATTCATTTCATTTTTATAAAGTTAGTATTAATCAAGTCTGGAATTTTGTCGACCAGTTTATACCGTTGTCATTACGATGAAAGTGAATGCTAATTTTTTCAGGTAAGAGACATGGTGTCGGTCATTTGAGGTTACGTGATGGATCAACATATACTGGCCATTTTGAACACGGCCTCAGCAGTGGAACAGGGGTCATGGTTTTTAGCGACGGTTCAAGGTGAGAAATCATAAGGTATTTACTGTATTTATTTGAATAAACTCCCCCACTTTAAATATACATCCCCCACGGATAAATGCCCCCCTCCAGAGCCTCATTTGTAATAAATACTTCCCTCGATTAAGCACCCCGGGGAATTTATCTTTTTCTCGAATAAACGCTCCTTAAATGACTGTAAACTAATGGAAGCAAAATCATTTTAAATATATTCTATTGATGTTTTACTCCAGTAAAATTACATTTGTTAACCTGGTTGGAATCAATAAGATCACCCAATAACACATTTTGACAGTAATTATGTCTTCTTGTACCACTTACAGTGAAATTAAGGGGCATTTATTTCAGTGTATTATACGTATCCATTTTATACCAAAAAAATGAACGCCTCCCTCGAATAAACATCCCCTTTTCAACAATAAATGCCCTGGGGTTTGTATTCAAATAAATATGGTACAGTATGTCAAATTATGGATGCATAAATGATGAAAGCTTTTCTTATGGGTTTGAGTCCAATCTCCTCTCTGATGTATATTGGATTACCATATTCATTTAAAGAGACAGAATTATTCTTTATTAACAATGTAAATACGACAGGACTTCAGTTTTATTGAGGATCCAAATATCTTGGGTAAACAATTGCTTCTACATTTTACTATAAATGTAGTTGAAATAACTATACAAGAACTAAGTATACGTTAATGATAATTATAATATGATATGCTGCTCAATGTCGCTCTTATAGCACATATTGTCAAGGCCTCTACACACTTCAGTCATTGGATCAAACACATACTGGGCTCCCTGGGGGAGTATTCCATAATGTTGCAGCCACGGTAGGATGGCAGCAATCAGGTCGTTGGCATTTAAGCTGTTTTTATAGTCTGCATGGAGAGAGACAGCGTTAAAAAAAACTCTCCCAAGACTAGACAAGTGACTTGCCTCTGGCTTGAACCCTTGATCCATCGATCAGAAGCACAGACTCGTACCACTGTGCCAGTTACTTCCGTTGTTGTTGTTATTATTATTATTATTATTATTATTAAATATTGTTTGAAGGATGTTTGCATGTTGAAGTAATAATATATATTAATGTTTGCAGTACATTACTATATACAATACATTACTATATATTATCATTATTATTATTATTAGATTTTTTTTTTTTTTGTAGATATGAAGGTGAATTTGTTCAGGGGAAGTTTCATGGAATGGGGGTGTTCACTCGGTCAGATGGCATGGTGTTTGAGGGAGAATTCGTGCAAGGCTGTGTACAAGGGGGAGGTATGGAACATTACTGCATACATAATTCACTTCTTCTTGTAGATCCTGTTCGTATAATCAGAGTGAATACTTATCACTGTCACATGACTATCACATGATTGTCACATGACTTCCTCATGTAGTCATGTGACATAGTTGTAGAATCAATGGACCCAACTGAATTGAGATCTTTGATTATAATATTAAAATATTAATTTAGAGATTTAGAATTTTGTTAAAATAAAAGCAGTGAAGCATACTATACTACTGCAGACAATCTTTTACAATCTACATTATCATTGAATTTACAAATTATTTCTTTCAGGTCTACTAACGTTTGCTGATGGGACTAATGGTATGCCACGCAACGAAGGCATATGGGAGGGCAACCGAATGGCGGAACGGCAAAAGTGTAACCAAGTGGTTGCTAAGGCCAGGCAAAATGCAGCTGCTGCAAGAGCAATACATGTATCTTAAATCCCAGTGAAAGTTTTACTTATATACATTTTTATATTTTATTATATAACTGTTATCAATAATGTAGCATTCCATTAAACACATCGTTTTTGAAATCAATCAAATTAGAATTCATGTTACTTAACTTTTAGAAGATAATGTAGTTAAGTGATAAACCATTGGATATTAGAGGTTTTTATGTTTTGACTTCTGAAAGCATATTTTTTTATATCTTTTGACAATGATTTAAAAAAATGATTTATGACTGCTTTACATTGCTTAGTCATTAAGTCACTATCTTCAATTTGGGAACGTATTTGGAGAGAAATCATTCGCTGTAGGCCTGGTTTTTATCCCCGGGGACTTTGAAAGGGGAAGGAACTATGGGCTGTAGTCTAGACACAGAGCAAAGTTTATTCCCCCTCCTGGGGACTAGCTTACAGTCTTTGAGCCTCAAAATATTTGGATTGTAAATGAGTGATTAATTACTCTGAGTATAGATATTAAATGATGCCTGTGATCTGTGGAACTAGGCTGCGTTGAACCACAGTCTTGTACCCACCAAAAATCTACTCAAAAATATTCATCTAAATTTTAGGTAAAGATGTTGTTTTAAGACAAAATACAAATCATGTGTGTACCTCTTGGGTGTAAGTTACACATTATTCTAAATTACCCTGTATTTTGAGGATCAGCTTGGACACAAACTTTAATTTCTTCTCAACACAAAATTTTAGTTGACATAAACATCAATTTTGCTGATTTACAAAACAAAAGTATATGTTATAAGGCAAGAATGTTTGATTTTGATTGTGTAATATTCTTTACTCTCTGTTCCACACTATAAATTTTATTGACAAAAATTATATGATTTGCCCAAATGTGAGTTAATATGATATCATGCCCATATATGGGCATTGTATAAAGTAGCACAAAATTTATTTACTTAAAATGTGATACTGTGTACAGACATTACATTGTCTTTCAAAAAATGTACTTTTATATGGTTTTTGCTATTTTTAAAATAATAAAGTGTAATATTAAATTAATAACATTTGTCATACATATGTGTTAAGCTTTTGTCCTCGACACCAATGTTTGTTGTATTTACATTGTCACGTGTAAGTAAATAGTCAATAAACAGATATTCAAGTGATTGAACATAGATCAAATTTGCATTATGGGACCAGTTGTAATAGTCGAGAACATGCTTTCGTTGATCTTAACTCAAAAAAAAAAAAATTGAAAAAAACTGGCAGTAAATCGTTCAATGAAAATATTGTAATGACTAATTTATTGCTGTATTTCATACTTTCTGTGTTATAAACATGGAAACACTCTTTCTCGTGCAGAGTGTCTTTAAATTTACATTCCATCTTAAAGAGATAAATTGTGATAGTGTAGCGCATTGTGGAAAGAGATCTAGTATATCCAGCAGGACAAAATTGAATCTCCAATTTAGCGGAATGTTTCCTTGCCAACTCAACCGGAACTTCTGTTTATCAGAACAAGACCAAAATTGGACATGATTTTTAAAATTCTATCACTTTACTAACACAAGGTAAATGAGTCAACGAATTCATTGTTAAACACACAGGACAGTGACTGGACAATTCAAAGAAAAATGATGATGCTAAAACCACTCCTGTTCTTTTTAACTTGTTAATGTCTCATCGACTTTGAGGTTAATTAAAAATATCACTGCTTTTTTAAAAGAATTCCAAAGACAGATCAAAAACATTTTTAGCTTGCAGACAAAAAATCTTCAATTGTCAGTTCATTTAAAGGGTTTATCTCCCTGTTAAATAAATTAAATATTGAATTTAATTGTTAAAGAGTTATTAGTTCCACACAAAATAAATGAAAAATGTGTTGGGACTTGAAAACTGTCTTTCTGCTATCCTTAAAACTGATGTACTAATATAATTGTGGGCAAATACAGATACAGATTAAATTTATTTTCAAATGTACATGTAAACATACAATGAAATAGTATTGGCTCGATGAACACAATATAAATAATTTAAATAACACGAGTATCTACTATTTAAAGTGAGACAAACATTTAATTTCTGGCTGGCAACCACGCATTTATAACTTTAATGGCAGACGAAAAAATGAAGCTCTTGATCTTGTACAGGATGCGTATGGGGTTTTGTAACGTTGACCAGATGTCATGAGGCAAAAATGAGAATTGCCGGGATGAAAAGGGTCACTGATGATGGACGTTGCCTTATTGATGATACGTTGATTATACAAAGTGTCTCATGAAGGTTGTTGTATACCAATTTTTCGAGGAGCACGTTTTTATTTAAAACTTCTTTATCATAATAATTAGCATATTCATACCAAACTAAAAGTGACCAAGTTATGACACTTTCAATGACAGATTTATAAAACTGACCCATTATTGTAGGCCTATTACTACTTTGGGGAGAAGGTGTGGGGTGGTCGTGTTGGTTTGTCAGAGGAAGGACTTCAATATTACAGTTATAATTAGTATTGAGTAAAAAGATCTGTTTGAAAGTTCTGTGAATTGAAAACAAATACTTAGTAATGAGATGAGAAAAATATAGTTCAAGCACCTTTGCCCTTTGCGGACAGTAATACCTACATTGGTAATTATGTGTAACAATGATAAATGAATGTCAAAATTATACTTTTGGGGAGGGTAATGAAACACATAGTACTTGGGATTTTAACAGACATGATTTCTTAAGCCTTGTGTGTGGTATTAACGCCACCCGGGAATTTTTAGCAGAAGTAATCTGCCCTGCCATAAAGAAATATTGTTTATTCATTGTATCAATTACAAAGTCAATATTGACAAAGGAGTGAGATTGAGTTCCCAGGTGGGACATAATACAGGATATCCACATGCAAGCTTTCGAAGTAGATATAAGCACATTGTGATCGCTGTTAACGACGAGAGATGGAGATTGCTCCAGTGGTGTATCTTGAAATCTTGAAGGGGGAATGCAAAGGTGAAGTGGGGCTCAGGGATTAGGTGAGGGAGCACTAGCTCCCAAAAGAAGGTGATTTGAGGTGATTTTTAACTACAGTACTTCACAATGATTTTTTGGGGGGGCATGCACCCCTGCCCACCCTCTAGATACGCCACTAGACTGCTTTGGTTTAACATCATCAACAAGCTAATAGCCTATCCAAATATTTAAAGTGTCATTAAAGATTTCAGTAAAGTGAAAAAAATTAACTGTATTTTCACTGCAGATATTGAATACATGAATCTGATATCAACTTAATCATTTCAGATTATGGGGGGGGGGTAATGATTTTAAGTGCTTAGAGGCCTTGTTGGTGTTAAGTGCTATATAAGTCTAACATATTATTATTATTATATTATTATTATTATTATGGATAGCAAGACTTGCTGCTGATTGGAGGAAAACTAAACAATAACTAAGACTATGTGTGAAATATATGAATATACATGTATACATTATGATAAACCACAAAATGTTCAGTGAGGTATGCAATTAGTTGTTCAGTTTCTTTGCTTTGTTTCACGAACTTATTTTTTTAAAGATCATCTGAGGAGAGCTCTTTGCTTAATTAGCAAATAGTTTTCCCAAAAACATCCACATGGAAGAGAAAATAAAAATAAAATTGGTAAATGAAACAGTGTAGTAATGGGATGGTTAAATGCTTTAAATTTATATACTGTAATTAGGAAGAAATATGCATATCTTATCTTTAGTGATTTCAAGGCAGCAGAGGACGTAATAAAAATTAAGAAAAACTATTATTTTTTTCTGAAATTTACATTTTTTTGTGCCAGGTACGCTAATTGGCCAAAAATATATTTTTATTTTTATTTGAAATCATCATTATTTGCAGGGAGGTGGGTTCGCTAGAACAAGTCTCCCCTTGGCAACACTCGCATCAGTACGACTTACGATAAGCAATACAACAGGATGACCTGATAAATTATATTTTACAACCCAATCCAGCAAGCCTGCATACATCAGAGTTCAACCCGCCCGCGATTCGATAGTTTGAAGGCATTTCAAAGAGAACACAAAATTTAAAACAATTTTGACTGTTGGTAGGCAAACTGACAGTAACACTAGAATAAATTTGAAAGAAAATTGAATATTGTTTAAAATGTTTAATACATTTAAAATGTTGAATATGTTTCAACAAATCAGGAAGACTGAACTGCTTAAAATATAAGTAGGTAATTCAATTTAAATTGAGACTTAAATATGTATATCTTAACCATTAACATTTAGTTACATTAGACTCATTATAATAAGTTTTACAACAGGGTCACCACTTCACATAAAGTACTTCCAATTTACAAATACCAACAAGTATGGTTCTTTGATATATTCACATATTTTGAATAAAGTAAATACATATTGGTGCATTGAAAGAAAACTGGGTATATTATAATAAAAAAAAAAAAACAAATAGGATACAAGTGAAATAATTACTACCTGAATATGAATATTATCAATTGTGTTAGTTTACATATATTTTATTATGTATTTATTTTTTCTTTATGATTGTCCATATATATATTTATTTTTTTTTTGTTTGTTTATATAATGGTGAGTGTCAACTAATTCTGAATACAATCTTTCCACATATTGCAACAAAACCACAACTATCTTGAACTAATATGAGATACATAACTGTTGAAGGAAAAAATATACTTTCTGATTTATAAAAATTATCTAAATATACAAATTAAATTTTTGGTTTTTTAAGTCGCACTGAAAATGAAAATGTTAACAAATGATTATTTCTGGCACCTCGCACTGAGAAAACTTGGTCAAACTGCAGCAAATAAAACACTGTAATGTAATTAAAAGTTGACATAATTTCTTTCAATTATGTGAACAATCTGAGAAGATGAATTAACATTTGGCTTAATAAAATTTGTTAACAAATTAGTAAAATAATTTTAAGTAACTCTACAATGATACTATAATAAGTAAAATAATTTCTTTAATAACTCTACAATGATACTAAAATTATTAAAATCATTTTTAAGTAATTCTACAATGATAAACAGTAAAATCATTTTAAAGTGAATTTACAATGATACTAAAATTAAGTAACTCGACAATGATACAGATGAGTTAAGTAGAGAATTGACCAATAATGGAACTTCAAGGAGTGTCAATCAAACTTACCATCTAACCAATCAGAATATGTTATTCTAAAAGGGAGTAGTTTGGGGTATGTGCATGCCCCAAGAACACACGTTTATAAGGTAAAGGTAAAGGTAGGAAATAACCTGTGACTTGCAGCTTTAACTAGGCTGGAATGCGCACAGGTGTGGACCAACTCATTTTACAACTTTCTTCTCCTCCAAGGATCACATCATAAGCGATCAGCTGCCACAAGGTGCATTTTTGTCTGTCAACATTGACAAGGGCTGAATGGACCAGCAGACCGCAGTAACCCCCTACTCTTCTCAAAAGATGTACCGGGTTCTTTAAAGTGCACACGAGTCAATTGTGTACACTGGGCCTATGGTTTACAGTCCTTATCTAAGACTTGTTCTACCTTCAGAAACATAGGCGAGCGCGCCGATATTACGGCTGTAGGTTGTGGAACCCTGCCATAACCGCTCGTCCATTTGACTCACCATTATGACTGTACTTATGGGTGTTGTTTTAGATGTTAGATCCAATATTTAAGAGGGGCTTAGAAGGTTAGGTCACTGATGGCAGTTCAAAGTTCAAATTTGAATGACAGCTATACTTTCTTGTTTAAGAATTTACTATAGAATAATAATAATTTATATACTATTCTATAGACCTCTAATAGGTTATATACAAATTAATAATGTATTCAATAGGGATTGATTTTAAAGTGGTACAAGAGAATGCATATTTTTAAGTCAATAAATTCTGAGTTCAACCAATTTTTTTGTATCTAAATATAAAATTTTAAAATGACTGTCAGAGCATGTTCAATAGGAAATAAACATCAAACAACAGAGATCTTACAACGGCTCATGTCAACAGAAAAAAAAAAGTCAATAAATTATGGGTTCAACCAATTTTTTTGTATCTAAATATAAAATTTTAAAATGACTGTCAGAGCATGTTCAATAGCAAATAAACATCAAACAACAGAGATCTTACAACGGCTCATGTCAACAGAAAAAAAAAAGGTTTTAAATTAATAGAGCCTCAACTAATGAAAGACTTACATTACTTTATTTTTTAGTAACTTAATTTTGCATCTAATAAACTACATTTTAAATTCATCCTCGATTTTGCTTCAATATATACAGTTGAAAGAATAGCTTTAATATATATCTGAATTTTGTACAAAAGAGTAAATTTACTTTTAAAAAACATTAAAACAATATAATTGAAAATTGATGTGCTTTAGTATTTGCAATATTGGCAAGTTAATTAGAACATATTAAGATAATAACAAAGTTATGACATACTTGATCGAACAAAAACAATGTAACATTGAGGGCAGCATATTGACTGATGATTCAGATTATTACTAAACACACTTGTTTTATCTTCTTCATATTTCTTATTTTAAAAAAAACATACTCTATAATAAATAACACATTAGCCCAAGAAAATAAAATACTCTTAGGAATTTTTCTGATCTAATATATATTTTATATAATATAATATAATAAATTATAATTTATGAAATCAAATGAAATAGAACTTTGTGCCGATAAGAAAAGAAGCATTGGTAACTCTATATCTAGATATATCTATGCCAAGCCTAAACATACATGAATACACAATTCTTTTGAGGTCGTTCAAATTCTGTATATATTTTTCTGTGAAAGAAAAAGGTGGTCCAATAAACAGAGGTAGAATAATACAAAAATCAGGTCTAATAATTACTTTGTTATTACAGTTCGCCTTCCAATTCGAGACCACCGTTGGGACCTTTGGGGTGGTCTCGTGGTTCAGTTTCCAAATTCAGGGTTAGCTTAGTGTTCATAGATTGAAGATTGTTACAGTGTTTGGTTCTTTGAAAAACTGATCCGAAATTAGAGGGGTCTCGAATTGGAGGGTGCAATGTATGTAATTATCCACAACTTCCACAACATGCCAATGTAATCTTTACTTGTCTGTGAGTCAGCATTTTTACTCTAATTACCCTGTCATTAAGAATGAAGAGACTGTTGGTCCAGAATACATACCAGCTCTAATGTTTCCACCCAAAAGTCTCTGGGTGTACTGAAGAAACCGCTTCCAGTGTTGTCCTTGTTGATGTCTGGTTTGTGAGGGATTGCCGCTTATAGATCTGTTCACACACCGCTTCCAGTGTTGTCCTTGTTGATGTCTGGTTTGTGAGGGATTGCCGCTTATAGATCTGTTCACACACTCAAGTCTTAAGATTGTCTGGGTTGTGAGGGATTGCCACTTATAGATCTGTTCACACACTCAAGTCTTAAGAATCAACACTCGCTGCGCCCGATGGTCGTCAACCTCCGACAATCAGCAGACGGCGTCACGTCGTCTGGCGCTCACTGGGAGCTGAGTTAGATTCATTGTACGGCCGTCGTACGATGCACTGAGTGCCCGGCCTTATGTGACATATATGCCTGTGATATGCCCATATATGGGTGTGATATGATATCATCATGCCCATGTATGGGTGTGATATGACATCAACATGACCATATATGGGTATGGTAGGACATCCTCTTGTCATATATGGATGTGATATGACATCACCATGCCCATATATGGATGTGATATGACATCATCATGCCCATATATAGATGTGATATGACATCACCATGCCCATATATGGATGTGATATGACATCACCATGCCCATATATGGATGTGATATGACATCATCATGCCCACATATGGATGTGATATGACATCGTCATGCCCATGAGTGTGATATGACATCATCACATCCATATATGGGTGTGATATGAAATCTTATGTAATATATTGGGTAATCACATACTGTATATTAGTCATATAAAACTTGATATTGCAAACAGTGCTTAAGAGAGATGTGCAATGTTTGCACCTCTTAATATGCAAATCTACAAAAAAAAACATTGATGATTGCTGATATAACATGGACACATGGGATTAGAAGATTACAACTAAACCGCAGCTTGGTGGCAGTAACAATCAATGCTAATCTTCATCACTGAGGATTACTGTTTTCATCTTGCTTAAGCTGGGTTTACGACTAGCTTGCAGCACAGATATATCTGTTGAGTCCTTCTTCTTCTGGAGAGCAACCACTATCCTAGCAACCGCATCACCAATTTCATCGATCCCAGCATTTTTGTCTCCTAGCAACTCCCAATCGTCGGGATTTACACCCTGTGGTACCTAAAGACAAATCAATTAAACATCATTAACAACATTTTAAGAAGAAGCACCAAGAAAGTACTAATCCTTTTGCTTTTTTTCTACCATGACCTACCTTGAATATTTCCTGAGGAACATTAAATTTCCCACTTGCTGCCCCTCCTGTGCACTTGATAGGAATCACTGTGTGCTCACTCCACGCAAACTCCTCTGCTTCATGTGCAGCGCCTGGGCCACCTATGAGGGATCAGTTTTCATTGATTACTGATAATAACTTTATTAACAAACATTATTATTATTATTATTATTATTATTATTATTATTATTACAATTATTTTTTGAATTAGGACTTGGAAAGAAATATAAATAAAAATTTATTACATGTGAATAAATTTTTATTGATGTTTGGAGAAGCTGAATCATACTTTAACAATAATGAGTGTTACTATGACAATGATGTGTTACTATGATAATGATGAGTGTTACCATGGCAATGGTGAGTGTTACTATGACAATGATGTTCCTATGATAATAAGTGCCAATATGACATTGATACTCAACAGTTTGACAGATTCATGAATTACCTTCAATCAGAATACAAATATTAAATGCTCTTGACACAATATTCTCACGCTCTCGCACGCTGTCTCCGTAGAATAATGTCTCGCCAAAATTGACACGACGGAAGGTTTTGTCTTCGTTCTGACTAGCTTGTTTACTACGGTCCTGTTTTTGATCAAAATATCAAGCATATTAGAAGGGAACACAAGAAAACAAAGATGTTGTCATTGTGATCCACTGGTGAATAAGCATATACACATCCCTCACCTGCTATGAGCAGTTACTGTAATAGAAGTGTCAACTTAGAGCCTAAGGTTTGTTTATGTATATTTTTCCTAGGTGTAGAAGAGAGTAGAGAGCTTTTGTTATCTCATTCGAGAAGCGATCTGCAGAGAAAGACACCCGAGATTCAGCCACTGGATCACGAGAACCAAAAAACCGAATGTATTTGTAACATTTCTATGGAATTTATTTATATTCTATAACAAATGATTAAAATACTACCTTGAAAAATTTATCAATACTGATTGTAAATTCACTCAAACTTCTCTCAGATTTTTACATTTTCAATGTATTTCTTCCTAGGCTAGGCCACAGCTATTCCGCACCATGACATCAGCCATCGTGCCAACATAGTTTAAGCGCAAGCCACAGCCGTAGCAACAGGTAGTGCTACCACCAAGAATTCGGTTCTCGGCGAACGCTAAACGGGATAGCGCAAGCTCAATATTTTTTTTAACAAGAACAGTAACAAGAATGTGAAATTTTCTCAGTGGATTGGTTCTGGAACGAGATATCTCTGTGCACTAATCATTGCATAAGTTTCAGGTCAAATACACTAATGCAAGATTCATAAATAATATTAGAAGGTATGATTGATGATTTACCTGATCATCCCTAATTGGTAGAATATGCCAGGTCTTCGGTGGTTTCTTTTGTTGTATCCTCTGATCATAAAAAGTCCTAGAAACCACCTTGCCGACACCATAGAAGCCACCTGTTACTAGGTCAATGGAATCTTCTTTTGCTAATGATTTGCCTATAGCTCTAAATGGTACAGGGAAGCAACAAAAATAAAAATAATAAGATATTTATACTATTACTATTATTGCTGTTACTGTTATTAATAATAATGTCATCTTAAAAGGCATACATATCCATCTCAGAAGGCAGTGCCATTTCCACCTGCAGAGAGCTGCAACCTTTTCTGCATTTTCATTTCTTTATTTATTTTGTTTTTATATGTAATATTTAAACAACTTAACTAGTAAGGAAAAACAGGCAAGGCAAGAGGTCATTCATCCATCACCACTCTGTTGTGTACCCAAACCTCTACCTAAGTGGCTCAAACAAAGGAACAGGAAACACATTTGCCCTGCCACAGACAAACAGGCGGCTATCAGAGCAATGGCCCCTAGAGGATTGTTATTATGATTATCAATATTATACTAATTTAAATGCCAGGTTGTTTCATTGCTGGTTATAACTTTTCACATTTTACTTCATTGTCATACTTTTAATAATGTATGGCTATTGCATGGCTTTGATAGAAATGTACTTTAAGTGAGACAAAGTCTTCATACTGTATGTACAAGTTAATTAGTTATTAATGTATTATTATCATTACTTACTTGCATATTTGCTCACTGTTTTTGTAATAGAACACTGTTCCACCAGAGATATACACACAATGCTTCAATGAAATTGAACACTTTAATTCCTTCACCTAAAAATAAATCACAATCAAAACCCGGATATGTAAATGTAAATGAAATAAAGAAATAAAAGACTATGATGTTAATAGTATTAATTTTAATGAGCAATTAGTAGTCATAAATCATTCACTAGATGGAAATTATTATACAAAATTAGATTAATGCTCTGTTGTGGAGAGGCAAGTGTATACCTGCCACTAGTTTACTAGGTAGCTCAGACTCAAGTGACTATCAGTGAAATTGAAGCTACTGTACAACTTGTCCTCGCATCAACGCTTTGAAAATAAAATTCAGTAGATAAATCTAACTATTTACGTTTACTTACAAACTTATTACTTACCTTATTATCAAACTCTGCAACCTTGTTGGCTTCTGCATTGTATTCCTCTGAATACGGATCAAACTCCTTCTTGACTCGACTCAAGAGGGAGTCCTTGTACCCTGTACGTTGCACATCCTATCAATAATAAACACAAATTATTCATTAATAACTTTTAAGGATGAACAATCTGCCTATGAGGTAGTATACATCAGTTTCAGGAATTTACTTCAAGCAACCAATAAAAAGAGCTTTTTTTTAAAAGGTACCAACTTGCCTACGACATGCTCCTATTAGCATATAGTAGCAGATAATCATGGCAACCAGATATGAGGTGGGCATCTGAGGCGATAGAATCTTACAATAAATGAAGATCCAAAAACTCCCCCATATTTCACTCTCATTGTATTTCGATTACCTGCACTGCATATAACAATTGCATTTATTGCAAACATTTTTTTTTTTTCTTACACTTGGTATGTAACTTACTTCAAATGTACTTGTTCCTATTAACATTGACATCCAGCATGGCATTTCAAAGTGTTCATAATTTAATGGTACAACCCGCTTACGGTGCTCACAGTAGAAAACCTACAAATAAAAAATATGTTAAATCAAAACAGTAGTAATTTTGCCTTTAGATATAAATCAAATAAAATAATTCTATAATTTCATTAAAAAATTGTCAGTATGTATAACATGATTGGTTGAGCTCTTTTTGAATGATAATTGGTTGATAACACAATATGATCTGTAATTATACATCTTAATTACCTGAACATGTTAAGCTCAAATTTTTTTCTAGAGATGATAGGCTGATATCAAATGACCTTATTCCTACCTGTTGCTTGCAAGTTTTTGATTCTGCAAAAACCTTCGATAAGACAAACAAAACAACGCCTGCCTCGTCTACTTTCTGTTGAAATAACACCTTTGGGTCATTACTGGTCATGTCTTGTGTGTATATTACAGGTAGAGTTGAACCTATCAGAAACAAACAGATGTTGTTGTTGTAGATATTTATTGGAGGGTGACCCTTGCAGCATATCCTAGAAGGATGTCTGATATTCAGGGCCCTCCTAAATACGTTTATTTAATTTGCAATAATTTGTTTTACAAGGGGCCGAAGGCCTGAAGTTTTGAATAAATTCCCTATATGGGGAGCAAGAAATAACTTGATGCTTTATCAACTAATTCTCATTACAAGATTTATGGAGTGAAGAAGTTTTTAGCCCTGAGAAAAAATCCAGTGGTCACAGGATTTGAACCAAGAACCCTTTATGCAACCCATCAACAACCACACATCTATCTACCATTCAATCACCCATTCAATCTTTGTTTTTTTATATTCTTTCATTTTCTCACTCGTCATTGATTCAGTCATGCATTGATTGATTGATTAATACATTTTTCAATGACATTCATGTCTCACACCTTCAAATTAAAATCATATGGCCAAAAACCTTTGCTTTTTCTGCCTCATTTCTGTGGAATGACTTAGCATTGTCTATCAAAAACTCACTCTCCTTGGATTCATTTAAACTAAAATTAAAAACTCAACTACTTCAATCCACCTAGTCTACTGTTTCCACGTTCATATTTACATTGTCTTTTTACATTTCTAATTATTACTCCACTACTTTTTTCAATCCATGCTCTAAGTATGCTTTTGTGCCTTTTGCTCATTTATTTTGAAATTGGTGCATAACAAATGATTGATTATTATTACTATTATAATTAATTAATTAATAAATTCATTAATTTATTTATATTACAGTATTCATTCAATTCATTAATTCATTAATCTTATGTAATAACAAATCTCACACAACTCGAAGCATGTATGATTTTTACATCTATATTTTATCTATAATAATTGATTGAATTCATTTAGGATAGAATTCATCTGGATTTCATTTTGTTACCTGACGACTGCAACAGCCCCTGTGATGCTGGAACACTGTAGTCAAGGTTCATCAGTTCTGTTGTGCACCACACCTCCAAAATGTCACACTAACATAATGGCCGGAAGATGTCACACTAAGCTAATGGCCGGCAAAATGTCACACGAACATAATGGCCGGAAGATGTCACACTAAGCTAATGGCCGGCAAAATGTCACACGAACATAATGGCCAGAAGATGTCACACTAAGCTAATGGCCGGCAAAATGTCACACTAACATAATGGCCGGAAGATGTCACACTAAGCTAATGGCCGGCAAAATGTCACACTAACATAATGGTCGGAAGATGTCACACTAAAGCTAATGATCAGAAAATGTAACATTAATATAATTGCTGGAAAATGTCACACTAACATAAAGGTCGGATAATATCACACCAACATAATGACTGGAAGATGTCACACTAAGCTAATGGATGGAAAATGTCACACTAACATAATGCCCAGAGAGGTGTCCTACCATAATGGCTGGGGAAATGTGACACCTACAAAGTAGCTACAAAACGCAGCTACAGTGTATTGAATCAAGAAGATACCCATATAGTAAATAATCAACACCAGAGGAATGGCCACAGTTACGTCAACAAAGTAGAACCATAGAAAATTACCATGGTTAACTAATACAAAGGTATTCCCAGTGATAAAGCATTTACAATGAGCCAATATATACCAAGTACTCATATTTATATTTTTGTTGCCTATTCTTTTGGGGATTTCCCCTTTTCCATCTTCATAGTTCTATATTACCAGTTTCATGCAGGTGAAGAGCACTTAAACTTCAATTCAACTTACAAAATCAGCCTGATTTGGATGAACACCAATCACAACCAGCGGTTTTCCTTCCCTACTCTCCATGGTAACAAATAATGAGCTCTTAGCAACACCACCTGGTAGGATCGATCCATAGCTCTTGAGCATAGTAACCTAAAAAAAAATATAACCTGTAAGTTTGGATGTTCTGCAAAAACATCATTATAATGAATGATAGTAAACAATCAATCTCTAGACTTACAATATGTGATACATGTAGTGCCTATACTATGTGTATCATATCCAGTTAAGATTAGACACTATGTGATACTCAGTGTCTAGACTTACACTGGGGGTACTATGTATCTTGTCAGGTGGCTTTAATAGTTTGATATTTTTATACCATCTACTGTGTACTTGTAGATGTTAAAAGTTTTATATTTGAATATTTTATGTGACACCTGGGTGAACTGAATGTAGAACTTTGTTTTATTGTGGAGTTGGAAGCTGACTGTGCAGGGGAACCTTCATGAATTCCATACTATGTGGAAAATAAGGAATGAAAGGATTATGAAACATGTCCATGTGGCATACCCTCCTTGTTAATCCATTTTCGGCCTGCGAGTCTCTCAGATCCTTGAACCGCTCTGCAACTTGTGCAGAAACATACTGGATGTCCTCCATGTCCCAGGAAAAGCTCTTCTCTCCTCCATCTGTCAGACAAAGGCCTATAGAAAATTTGTATAAAATAGATACTGTATATGAATTAGAAAAGAAACAAAACACAATCTTCTTCTATCTCAATGGTTTTTGGCAAGCAAGTCAACTTATAAAAATCAGATCAGGTTAAGCAGACTGTTATGTTAATCTGTGTTAATCAATTGGTTTTAGCTCAATTGAAGAGTCATGATGAATGTTTTAACAAATTAGGATTGGTGTTAGGCAACAGAAGCCAGTTAAAAACACACAGGTTAACATGCTAACTTGTAGCAGATATGATGGTTAACATGCTTACTTGTAGCAGATATGATGGTTAACATGCTAACTTGTAGCAAATATGATGGTTAACATGCTAACTTGTAGCAGGTATGATGGTTAACATGCTAACTTGTAGCAAATATGATTGGTTATCATACTAACTAGTAGTAGCATGATTGGTTAACAGGTATATGACTGGTTAATATGTTAGATTTGGTGAATATGCAAATTAAATTAGCTATTTGTAAAAGCACAGGTATATCAGCATAACTTATGATGGTGACACGGTGACTTTCTAAAATGAATTTCTGAAGAATTCTGGTGAATACAATGGTGACACATTTAAATTTTAATATAAATAAAACTTTCCTGCAAGGCAACAAAGAAATCTTGAATATTGGAAACATTTTTAACACTTTTACGTTAGTTTGCAAAATATGATTCCATGAAATGGCACAATGAACAATATACAACTACTATACATATTCTTTGATTTTGAATACATAATTAAATATAAATATTAAGAGCGACAACAAACTGATTATTGAAATATCAATATCCATCCATACAAAAGCTATAAAACAGTGACCATAACTTCCATAATTTCCATGCAAAGTGATACAAAATTAAATAATAATAAAAAACTAGACAATAAGAATGTGATTTCTATAGCACAAAAATATAAAGCAAGAAGATAAAAATAACACTGCAAACAAGGTTCATGCAGTGATGTATATAACCCTTGGTTCACAAATTGTGTCACAACCCAAAACCTATGGTAAAACTTCTCTTGACCAAGAAAACTTTGTAAAAGTTTGAGTCACCATTGCTAAAAGCCACAATACTCAGGTAAGTATGTATGGGTTGAAGTAGGCATGAACTCTTAAGAGACAAAAACTCCCAACTTGCGAGATATGACTTTGGGCCCTGGCTCAAAATCGCGGAATGTGACAATGAGTCACCAACTAAAATGTTGTATAAACCAGGGCATTTTAACAATTTGCTTTGACATTAATAAATTCTCAAGAGTTTTGATAACATTCTTAATTGTTTGATAGTGCAAGTTGCCATAACAGCAGTAACAAAAAGCCTCTACAACATACTTTTCTTTTTAAAGTCCAAAATGACTTATGCAGGTTCTTGTCTCCTTGTTTGTTTTTCCCTAAGTACAATACTACTGGCATTTTCTCCATGTTTGGAGTACTCCATCCCAGTAAATTGGGTACTGTCAATTGTATTGTCAATCATTGTGTTTGATACAATAAAATTGAATAAAATGAGTAAAACTATGGTTTTCATTAAAAAATAATTTTTGAGGATTTAGAGTAGATATTTAAAGGCACTGCATGGATAATGGACTACACTTTAGGGAAGACAGAAACTGAACTGTGTCGCAATAAAAGCAAGAATTTTCTTTAATTTTGAAGCAAAATTTGGTATGTATATTTTAATTTATAAGCTGCTATTGTAAAAAAAGTTAGGTGTTTATTACACCTAGCCCAGAATTAGGTACATAACAATCACAGTTCTTAAGGACGTATGTGACCACAGCTACACAATGTACTTGCCAAGTACAAGTAGCAACACCACTCTGTTCATTACCTGGAATAACCTTCCCATGAAAAGAAGACATCAGCAATTTAGTTGTCCTCATACCTGAAATGAAATTTTGTTGAAGTAGTTTTTTCAAAAAACCCAGAAAACAATTTTTCACCCATCACCAAGATGTAAAAAGTCTATGCTGAATGGTTCCTTGTTGTGTTTGATCGTTAAATGATCAGGATAACAAAGAGGATGCATGGTTGAAACTTTCAACACAAAAAAAAACATCACTATTACCATCAACACCATCAACAAAAATAATAGATAATCAACATTTGTTAAAGATAACAAAAAAAGAAATCGATTTTAGTTATTTTAAAATGAGGAAATTAATACAAATTATAAACTAATCAATGAGTAATTAAACAAACAAATGTGTGATATGTTGCATTTCAAAGTTGTTCATGTGTCTATATTACAAGTAGGTCACTATAACATAGGCGACTATATTAACATTGTGATGTTCTCCTATCAAAATGTTTTAAATGTTTTGTGTTGTTAGTAGCAATATGACTATATATCCAGGCTCTACATAATATGAATATTATATTAGTAATAACACAATAATATTTTAATGTATTACATTAATTAAAAAACAAAGACATTATAAAAAAGATGGTAAAAAAAATGTTATGTCTATCACTGTATAACATTAACCTATAATTAATACACAATATATTACAATTTGATGTAATAGATAGTACAAAGTTACATATTTACACAACTAAACATATTATTATTATTATTATTATTATTATTATTATCATCCTTATTACTATTATTATCATCCTTATTGTTAGTATGTATGTCTAAGCTTCACTATATAACATTAACCTATAATTAATACACAATATATTACAATTTGATGTAATAAATAGTACAAAGTTACATATTTACACAACTAAACATATTATTATTATTATTATTATTATTATTACTACTGTATTATTATTATCATCATTATTGTTAGTGTTACTATTTTTTAATGTTATTGTTATTATTACAAATATTAGTACTTTATTATTTTATTATTCTATATCATTAATATTTTTGGTTATTAGTATTTATTATTACTCATGTTTTTATTAATGTTACGGTTCTGATTGATTTTATTGTTGTATCCTTCTTATTTTAGTACTATTAATGCTGATATTGGTGCCATTAATATTTACATGCATTACCTTGGAATTGATTTATATTTGATTTATATGACATTACACAATTTGATATGTTACTGAAATGAACTATTTAATAATAATAATAAAAAAAACTAAACATGTTATCTTTATAAGTGGAATAATTCATTATTGTTAAATTTAGTATGAGAATGAATGTCAATTTGATTTGTGTTATCATGTGATATAAGCCATATATATCACACTACGTAAATACAACTCTACTATTAGTATTATTTAATATTTTTGTATGAAGATTTTTATGGCATTACCTGATGAGTGTTTCCCAAAATTTCCAAAAGTACCATTGTCTGTGAGAGGTTTTTTTGATTTAACTGTTGGCAAGATTTCATACAATTAGCTCAAGAACACTACAAACAGTACACACAGGAGTGCAGCCAAGCCTTTTCTGTAGCTGTATCCAGGCCTAGAAGATTACATGCACTTCTAACACGTTCTTTGATTGTCTATAAAAGCTACTACCACCTAGCAATTTAATATCATGCAAAGCACATGTATTTCTAGCACATGATGGGGTATGTAGAATGCTGGGAAACTTTTGATTGCACAACGACGGTAAGACATTGAATGTAATAACGTCAATAAGATGTCTTCTGTGCATACGAAAACATTGAGTTCTCGTTGTCGAATGGACGCTTAGATGCTGTTTGGCCTGAATTTACATTGTAAGTAGGAATGTCACAGCTGAGTGAATCGGTTCCTAGGGTTACGTCGTCATGCAACTCGAAAGCTTCTAATACAAGCTAGGGAGGAGGATGGCAAAGAACAGAATGTCACCATAGTTAACATAACATGAGATGATCTTGACCGTGTGTTATTAACATACCATTTGAATTATCTGGCCTCTTCCAAGCTATGAACTGTGTGGTTGCAAATTGAATGGCCAGGCACCCAGGCGGCCATGCGTCCAGGAAATTCACCGGGACAATAAACTTGCCAAGTACATCTGCCAATTTGATCTGCAAGTTACCAAGACTTTTACATCACTTTTTCCTACAGTAATCTTTAATTTCATAAGGTTGTCTCTATTCAACAACATTTCTCTTGTAAAAATGATCCATGAGAGACAATTTTAGTATTGCCAGAACATTTTTAATAAATTACAAAATACAGGTTTTGAAATGCATAATTCATATTAATCATTAATCAAACTGTAGCTTGGTGGATAAGAACCTTGTCTTCTAAATCCAGGGTCCTGGGTTCAAATCCTGTAATACACCAGGATTTTTCTCATGCATAAGCACCACTCCCTTAAGGCCAACTCAGACAGCGTCATACAAAGCAACCCAGACGCGATTCATCATCTAGGATAGTCTTAAGCCGTTGTGAGAAATATTAAACATGTCTAATATTCTATGACGCGACTGCACTACCCCCCCAACGCTGACCATCGCGTCTGCGTTTAACTCACACAGACCCGATGCAACAAGACGCTGAGTTGGCCTTAAGCCCAAGGAAATGAGACTTAGTTTTAAGAGCTGAGCATTAAGTCATCATTAAATGGCAAGTGTACTTGCTGTTTCATGTGTAAAAAAATTGATTCCGATTTTATAATTTCAATAAATATTGTCCGACACATCCAGTCCATTCCATTATAAGCTCTAATATTATTGGTTTATATAAAAGCAATTAGAATGTATTTGTTGGTATCAAATCTCAATTCTGCTCCACTTTTCATAAAAAAGTAATGTTACCTCTCGATTTGTCCACTGTGTTTGTCCGTAGGCTGGTGTAACAAGGGGGACAAATACTTCACAGTTGCTGACAGCAAAGTTTAAGCTATCTTGCCAGTCTGTGCCACATCGAATCTCATGCACGTCCTGAAAGCAATTAAATTGAGTATTACTTGCTTACAAAGTTTTATGTCAGTTTGTATCATAAGTATGCATCCTAGTGGCGGATTCAAAGGGGGACCAGCCGGCCCAGGCCCCCACCAAATTTATTGAAATTATAAAAAAAGTAGAAAAACAGAAAATTACATTTTAAATTAAATTTACGTCTGAGTGTGCCATTTCTGGTCATAATCAAAATTTTCCCTCATTAGCCCAACCATGGTGGGGCTGAGGTGGGTGAGGTGGGACAGATCCTCCATATGTGAAAGTCCCTCACTGGGCCCCCTCTATTTCAAATTCCTTGGTGACTCAAATTATAGATGGTTCTTACCATAAAAGATTTGCAGCATCAGTAATGGATGAAGGGTATGATTAATACCACTGCTACTTCATACCATACTAAACATAATTCATAAATTACGGATATATATAATTCATACCTGGTCACAGAATAGATACCATACATACTCATTACTAGTCAGAAGACAATTAATTCCTCACTGATGAGTATGATCCATACCATAGATACAAAAAATTGGAAGTATACTCTAAATACTCTAAGTTGATTCTTTGTTCTTTGAATGGATAACAATAAATATTATACCATACTATACCTACCAAGCAGCAGTGGCGGCTCTAGGATATAATTTCTGGGGGGAGGGGGGCTAAGCTGTCCGACAGGGGTACTTGAGATCGTATGCCCGAAGAAGTTGAGAGAGGGTTCCCCCTCCAAAATGAGATTTTTTTTTTAAGAATAGCAACCTCTGGTTGGCCGGAAATAGCACTTTCAAACTGTGACAGACATGTGTTGGTTTGGTGTGGGCCTATTTCTATATTTGTTATAGTCTGACTGCCCGATGAGTTCTGTCCGACAGGTGAGCTTGACCTGTCCGGTGGGGGGACTTAAGCCCCCTGTCCCCCCGCTGGTGCTGCCACTGCCAAGCAGAAACTTTAAGACCTACCAAGTACACACTGAATCCATCATCTTCCAAACCCTCCTTCAAGTCAAGAGCGTATTGTGTTGCCTCAGCTCTTACATAACTGATAACAACATCTTTCGCAAGCTGTTCCTGATCAAATTGTAGCGGAGAGGCGGGTCGTGATCGGTGGAAGGTGCTGCCCGAATGAGAATGGTTGACAGGTGCCAGAGAATTTGTGCTTTGATAAGATGGTGTCCTGAAATAAACAAAATAAAAGAGTCAAGGATGCCGAAAGTTTGGCCGATTGAGACAACACTGTCGTAGGGGTTCCGGGGCATACCCCCGCGAAATGTTTGTGTTCTAGACGCCCGAACATAACATTTGAGGCATTCTGGGCTATCATTTTTTTTTTTTTTTCTCTCTTTTTTTTACCTCCCAAAAGGGGAGGGGCCGGAACGGCCCCCCCCCCACTAAATCCGCCCCTGTCAACCCACTGTTTAAAGTCTACCACCAACCCTTAGTTTCTACAGCTATAACCCTTGACAGTTACGGGTTATTATAGAGTTGATCTTTGCAGTAAAGACAAATAAGGCTTAAATATCATTGATCAATTGTAAGAAAAGAAAACAAAATAGACCCTTCTGCAGTTTTAATCCATCTTAACAACTGACCAATTAGAGGAGGGACAAGAATACATGCATGTCATACAAAAGCATGTACTGTCTCACAAAAACATGTGTTTGCGCATGTTTTTACGCTGTCATTTTGTGGACCTTAGCAACAATCTCCAAGGGGCGGGGCTTAGCGGAAAGGTCCACTATACTGTATACTGCCACCACCAGTCACATTACTTACGGTTTATGCAACTTCTGTGGTGGGGACCCTGAGGAGTCTAATTCAACTTCCAGCCTTTGAGGGTCATCTCTTTTTTTGACTGTAGCACCGAGTACATAGACACTGACACCTGACAGGATGTCCAGAATACATAGCGACGACTCCTGCGATGGACAGATTGGCCAGCGATTGCGGTCCAAGAAGATGATGTCTGTGTTAGTCCTGCCACCAAGCTAATAAAGACCAAAGTTAAATAATGGAATTGTGCTACACTCTTTAAGAATGCATTTTTGGTCTTTTCTCATTTTGAATTATTAAAATAATGACTTAGATTCAATTTCTCCATGCCGTTAGAACTAAAAAAACTATCAGACATTATTATATTATGAGCAAAGAGAAAACATATAGAGTCACATATTGGTTAATATAATGTTATCAAAGCCAATTCTAAGCACATCACTTACACTGGTTTGGCTCATTACAAAGCTATGCACAGGGAAAGGATGAGATAATTACCTGAGATGTTACAGCTTGTCGTAGTTGATGAACCGATAATGTGAGGCTAGCGACGAACACAAACCCTAAGGCTGTCCCATCCTTAGAAATAATTCCAACTCGAGGGCGGTCTGAAGGCAAAGATGAAGATAAACTGTTTTAATTCACAAAATAATCATATCCATTGTAATGTAATTAAAATCAGACAATTATAGTATAATTATCATATTTTACAATATCTAAAATGTTGTTTTATACTTATTTATATATTTATTCAACTTTCTCTATTCTGGATGGCACGTTCAATGCAAAGACACTGGTTTTCATTGTCGTCCAGATAAAATTTACATAAAAATACAAAAGTGATGAATTGAAAAAAAAAATGTATGGTATATTTAACAAAGAAGAATAAAGATGTAGATAAATTATTGTTTTTGTTCAGTAAACTTAACACCACATGCTTTTAATTTATTTTTTTTCCCTACATACATAAAATTACAAATTTGAAACCTTAACCACAGATATTAGCTCTGTGGTTACCATTTTATCATCCAAAGTATGGTGATTGATGGATGGTAACAAGCCCTAGTATTAGGCCTATTGTAAAACATTCTGACCAACCACTAGAGTGCTTGGGCTACATAATAATTTTTTATTATACATCATTATCATTATATAATTATTTTTCAGCCTTGTTTTATGTTTAACTATATGATCACAATGACTGTACATCATTTATATATTCAACATCCTGGAATTAATCTTGTCATTTCCACCGAATACATGCTCCATTGCCTCTATGGTTGCTTTCCAGGAACCTGTCCCTCGTGGTTGACCTGACTACTGCTATTATTACTGTATGGCATTTTCATCGTTATTGAATTTGCTGAAGTAATTATGCAAGACATTCGGGATGCACTACAATCATGTCTTAGACCTTATTTGGTATTCATTAAAAATTATTGAATGTCATTAAAATGAATAAGGCATTTGAAGACTGTAATCAAAATATTAATTAAAACATGAATTTAATTTAAATATGATTAAAATTTAAACAAGAGACACTGCTGCTATTTGAAATGAACGATTGAAAATGAAATCAAATTATAAAGTAATTATCAATGTAAATGTTTTTGTAATTACAAATTATATTGTAAATTTATTAACAAAATATAAAATCAGAATATGTTATATAAATAATGTTGGTAAATATAGTTTGGGCAAAATTACACCTATAAATATATTATAGTTATTAAGATCATCATTATTCAATATTAATGTCATTCAGACCCTCTAGCTCTTATTGGCAGTTCCACTGCCATCAATATCATCATCACCATTGTTGCTTCCCCTTCCCCCCCCACTACATCACCATGGCTATCACCATCATCAACCCCCTCCCATTACCACAACTATCATTATGACCACCACCATAATCATCGTCAACACCACATCATCATCACCATCATAATCATCACCATCATAATCATCACCATCATAATCATCACCATCATAATCATCACTATTATCGTCATCATCATCACCATTGTCATCACCATCATCATCATCTCTACCATCTTCATCAATTGGAAAGTGAGAGTTATAATTTGTGAAAAATATTACACCTGACTTCATGCCTGCAGTTCTGTGATTTCTAATTATGTTGAATGTTTTAATACCTCTACATACCCGGAAGTTGCACTCTCATTCCTTAAAAATCTTACCGGTAATTTATATCAACAATCCCTCCTGGCCCCCCCCCCCCCCCCCCCCAGCTCCAGCACACAACCTTACTTTATAGCTCTGAGCATCTCAATTCTCTAAAAGAGATTCTATGCCAACCTGACTTTAATGTGCAGACGACTCTAGATAATGTACACTGAAGCCCACTCATGCATGAAAAGATGTGAAAATGTTTGCATAAAAATGCACCATTTGAACAAATGTAACTAGGGAAACATCAAAATCTTCAACTGTTCAGGAATATCAATGTATTTTTCGATGGTAAGGTACTATTATTTCCCATCCATTAAAAATACAGTAAAATATGGAAAATATATAAATAATTGAAAATGTAACTTATTAATATTAAAATTTTTATGAGTAAACAAACAACCAAGTTGTGAATCAAAATGAAACTTTGATCTCATCGAGATTAAATCCCAAGATTACCTTAGTTTGTAAAGATACTGACACTGATACTCTGATTGTATGCACTAATTTGCTAAATTAATAACTTTTTTTTTATTGCAAAACTTAATGTAATTGATAAACACACAATAATTTCAGTTCTGATAAAAAGAATATTGACATCATATTCCAACAATAGGAACAAAATAGTAATAGAATTTGATTCCCTTTTCATTCATCTGAACTAAGGACAAGCCATTTAGCCTTGGTAATGTCTGTACAAATT